TTTTTTTTTGGGTAAAAAATAGAAAAAACCTTTTAGTGACATAATTATTACTAAAGTTTAGCCCTCATTTTGGCTGATTGAAAAATGTCAAATAATATAATATTGAGGTTTATTTTATTTATTAATTAATTAAGGCGTCGTCTGGGAAGAATGGGTTGGGTGGGTTTGAGATCATTTTAGCCACAAAAAGATAAAATATATTTTTTAATTCAATAAGACAAAATATCACATCCAATCCATAATCATTACGTTCTTTCTTTCACAAAAATTTTAAAAAACCAAAAAATCTTCCCAAACGAAACTTTTTAACCTCAAACTAAAATAGTTAAAAAGCTAACTTACTTCCCAAACGAACCCGAAAAAAGGCTTGTTGGGAACTTAGAAGTGTTAGGAAAGTTAGGTTTAGGCTAAAATAATTAATAAAAATAAAATAAATTAAAACAGTAATAATATAAAATGTTACATTTAAATAATAATTATTTTATTTTATTTCTCACAATTATCTAATTAATTATAAAAAAATTATCATTTTAAATATAATTTTTTTTAACTAAGTTAAAATAATTAAACAATTAAAAAATGGACTAAAATAATTTACTCAAAGTCAGCGAACCAAAAGGCAAAAATAAGAGAGAGATAGAGAGAGAGGGGGAGAGAGAGAGTGTGTGTCAGTCAGTCACGGGTAGGGTAGGGTCAACCTTTCAAACTTGACTACGTAAAGCCTTACACGTGTCCTACTCGGCACCGGCATTTGACCGTAGCCGACACATGACTTGGCACGTGGGATGGGAGCTACCCTCCCTCCGCTCCGCTTCTGCTTCTGAGATATTGCTGATGTGGGCCCCACGTCAGCTTCTTAGCCTTTTCAAATTAGTGATCTACTTTATATTTGAAAAATATTATATATCTCAAATAAATAATTAAATATTGGACAAATTACATATACTTCCTCGATATTTGATTAAATTACAAATACCCTCTTGAGGTTTGAGAAATTACAAATTCTTTCTTGAATATTATATTTGCATAACAAATTAGGGGGTAATTTATTATGAAATTTAAATCTTATGAGGTAAATTGTTATGAAAATGAAAACCTTAAGGGACGTGATGTAATTTTTGAAACTTTAAGAGAGTATCTATAATTTAGCCAAACTTCAAAGAAGGTATATGTAATTTGCCCTTAAATATTTTATATTGATATAAAATTTATGAGTAGACTTTACACTCATATAAATTTTATACCCATATAAGATATTTGACCGTTCATTTAATAAAAATTTAATACCTTTAACATTACCTCTCCTTCTTTATTTTTTGGGGGTGCTAATCTTCAAAGAATTATCATCACAATCAGGAAAAAGTATGGTTGTGCATTTTTCGCAGGGACACAATTTTTTTTTTTCATGAATTTGTGAGCCAATTACAAATAAGTTATGTGAATTTGGAAAGGATTATTTTTTCTTGTCCCGCTCCACACTAGTTTTTCTATGGGGATGGATTTTGCTTCTCCCGTCCCATTTGCCTAACCCCCGCTCCCATGATATTTAATGCAAATAAATTTTAACAATTTTATTTAATTCATATCAAATCTTATTAAAAATAAGTTCAAGTAAAATTATCATTAAAAATAAATTTTTTTGATGATTTTTTTATATGTCGCTAAAGATTAATAATTAGTAACTTTGTTTTATCACGATTTTTATAAATTGTAGTTAAAATTTACAATTAGTGATATTTTTCTAGGATAAATTTTATAAATTGTCGCTAAAAGTAAAAAATTAGTGATTTTTTTTGACAATTTTTTTAAATTGTCGTTAAAACTTATAATTAGTGATATTTTTGTGACAAAATTTTCAAACTGTCGCTCAAAATTAACAATCAGTAACGGTTTTTAATAGTGTTTGATAAAAAAAACCATCAATTCTCACAGGACCTATTGGACAATAAATCAACCTATCAGGACCTACTCGTAAGTCTCTTTTATATTTATTAAATATATTTATATGTACATATTATATATAATTAATTTTTTTATTTTAAAACATTGAAGCACTAAAATTTATACTTAATATTAATTTTTTCTCATTTATTTTCTATCTTATATGTTATAATTTTAATTATGTATAAATTATTATCCATAATATAATATATTATTTATAATTTTTATTAAAATTTTCATTTTTCAACTTATAAAAATTAACCTACCTCCCGCTCTATTACCACCGTCCCCTGATTTTTCCCACACCCAATATGAAATGGGGCGGGTGACAGATTACGACAAACTCGCCTCAAACTTGACCCGTGACTATCCCTATGTGGGTCTAACTTATTTATGAAAAAAAAATTCATTTTAATTTTCAGTGATAAAAAAAATAAACTAACACACATAAATTGAACTCTTTATACTTTTCACATCATATTTTAATGGGGTGTTTGGGAAGAGGGTTGAATTAAAATAGCCTACTAAAACATAAAATATGCTAAAATAGCCAACAAAATAATTTTTTTGATAGAAACTTCACCAGCACACTACAAGAAAATGTATTTTTGCCGACCATTTTTGGCTACCAAAAACAATTTAGTCGCCAAAAGTCATGGAATTAGCTACCAAAAATAATATTAGTCGGCAAAAGTCAACTTTTTAGCTACTAATTTTTTTAGTAGGGGAATGTTGATTATTGGCGACTAAAAAAAATTTAGTAGCTAAAAATATTACAATTGGCGACTAAAAAAATTTTTAGTAGCTAAACATATCCAATTGGCGACTAAAAGAAAATTTAGTAGCCGTAGAGGTACCTTTAGCTACTAAATTATTTGGTAGCCGAATGAAAATAAAAAAGATCGACGGCGAGCGGCGGCAGATGAGGGCCAGCCGATAGTAGCCGAAGCGCCAGCCGAGATCAGAGACCTCTTCGACCGTTACTCCGAAAATGGAATCATGACCGTCGATCACCTTCACAGGTTCTTGATCGAGGTTGAGGGAGAAGATAAAGCCACAAAAGAAGACGCAGAGTCGATCATGGAGTCTCTCAATGAACTAAAACACCTCAATATCTTCCATCGCAAAGGTCTCCATCTCGAAGCCTTCTTTCATTACCTCTTCAGCGACTCTAATCCTCCTCTCTCTCCTTCTCCTAAGGTAATTCAAACAAAATCATTCTTAATCTTTCTCACTTTCGTAACCGCTCGAGCCAGATCCATTTCAGAGAAATAGTATATAGTGTTTGAGTTGAGAATACATTGTCCATCTGTAAAGCTGTCCTAATCTTTCAAAAGATACCATGGGATATATCATCATACATATATCTATTGAGTATATATGTTTTTATTTATTTATTTATTTTGATGTATATGGATATAGGATTTTGGAGGGGATTTGAGAAAAAATTAGAGATGATTGTGGTTCAGAAGGAGTCTTAAAGGATGAAGAGGCTCTTTGTTTAGATGCAACACATTATGGAAATGTTGCAAGGTTTATTAATCATAGGTAAGTTCAACAAAACACAGAAGCGCATATGCCCTTGTGGCTTCCTCTTAATTATTAATGTGTTCTGATCCTTGTTGGTTGTTCCTCAGTCATTAACATTTGGTTTTACTCTGAAATTATCATAACTGATGTGTATATGTATATGATGGTAAGTTTTCATTTTCATCCATTAAGTTTTCATCCATTTTCATTTTCATCTACTCTTTTTTCCCCCTCATTTGGTTGTGTTTGTTTCCTGAGAAATGTGTGATGGTGTTCGGTGTTTTACAGATACAGGAAGTGATCCGAGGTACCAAGGACGCACTTTCTCTAGCTCAAGTTTGTTTACTCTCTCCAATGTTTGTCAAAATTTACTTACTAATTTTAGTTTTTGGTATGTGGGAAATTGAGAGATGTGAAAAGTTTTTGTTTTGTCCCTTTTAGGTCTCAAATTTGTAATTCACCAATTCATCTTCCACGAGAACATGTTCGGATTGCTGAAATCATGGCCTCGAAAATCTCAATTTTTTGACGATCATTAACAACCAATTACATGTTCTTGATTAAAATCTAATTGAACTCCAACTTAATTAACTTATTTATTTGTTTATAGCCTTGTTGCTTCTACCTAAAGTTTATTACCGGCAAATTGATTTGGGGAACATATAGACTGTGTTGAGATATGAGTTTACAATGAGTTGTGAACTTGTGTTATTGTTTTAACTTCAAATGAGGTACTTTGTAAAGGTGGTTGGGAAATGGGAGTGGTGAGTTATATTATAGACCTTGTTTGTGGGCCTGAAAGTATAATTTCAGTGTTTGTATAATACTAACTTATATTAAAAGCATGTAGTGTGCATGTCTTAATTTATCCAAAACAGGTTGTATTTTTGTTCCTGTTGCTTTCTAAACTCCTCAATATGTTGAACAAGCACAATTAGGAACAGGTTGACTATTAACAATATATATTTTGCTTAATACATTAGTGTAGGTATTAGATATATGTGGTGGTTGGTTGTGGACCTCTGGGAAGATAGCAAACACTTCTGTAACGCCCTCAAAATTAACCCATTAAATATATCATTGACATGCATTAATTAAAGAAGACAATTAATTAATTCATTCATCAGAGTATTACTAAATGAAGCATTACATGTAACATCGAATCAAACGCCCTACAGGCTTACATCTTTCCAAGCCAACACTTGGATTCAAAAATATGAGTTCTAATCTCAATACAAGAAAAGCCCTAGGCTTGAATGTTTACATGTACTAATAAATAAAAACTATTAACTAAAGGTAGTCTTCTTCAATCCAGAAGCCAAACCCTCCCAAGCTAAGTCCTTGGAGGTAGTTTATCACCTGAACCTGAAAATGATGTTCCCATAAAGGGTGAGCCACAGCCCAATAGAAATATACTAAACTAACAAACATGACTTTCTATGCAAGAGCTCCTTTATTGGCTAATGATGGGCTTTAAGTGGGCTGTTTTTGGAATCCTTGTCTTTCTATCTGTCTATCCTTTATTAACAGTTTGTGCCTGTTCTCAGTGGACAGAAGAAATGAGAGGAGAGAAACATGAAGGGGCATATATAATCAGTTAAAAAACTCATCTTAGGTCAAGGGCTCAAGGAACTGAAATGCATCTTTATGTAAGATGCACCTGTGCTTTATGAACTGTCTAACAGATTTGTGTAAAATGCATGTGTTCTAGGAACTTTCTGACAGATTTTCATTTATTTATTTACTATATTACCCTATTTAGGGTTGTTATGTCCATTTTTCTAATGTCAAGAAAGAATGTAATGGGTTTTAAATAATTTATGGTTGGTGGCTTTTAGATATTGTAACCACATCTTTATATAAAAACTATTATATATATAACATGGTAATATAAATTTATTTAATTCTTTTGCATGGATAAGATTGTTCAATATTATTACTATTTTTTTTTAATATGTGCCAATTCTCTCTCTCACTCCTTCCTGTTTCTTTTCCTTTCTTTCTTTTTTTTTCTTTTTTTAATTTTTATGAATCTCAATAGGAAAATATATGTGTGTGTGAGGGAACTGACCTTGGTTGCTCTTCACTTTTGTTTTGTGTTTTTGATAAGATATATAAGGAGTCAACAGGTACTGCTCCTGTAAACGATGCAATTTTGGGAGATCCAGTGCAGAAGGCAGAAGTAATGGCATTTCGTCGAGCTTTTGAGGGTATCTTCTTTTAGGAAAAGTAATTCCCAAAAAAGGAAATGCTAACCACCCCATCTAATGGGGTATATGTGTAAAAAGTAGATTCAAATATGTAGAAAGTGTATAGAAATATATGAATTGTGTATTGAAATTCTAACCCTTTTGACATTATATGGTCTTTAACAAAATGCCCAATGGAATCTATCTTTCATGCCATTTCCACCTTTCCTTCTGCTGGGAACAGAGCACAATTCTGAAAATGAGCACAATTCTTTCTTTTGGTTTGTAGTTAACTGTTAACAAATGTGTGCTAGTAATGGCTGTGTAGCATGCCTTGTATTTACTTAGACACGTTGCTATTTAAGTGGATGGTCCAATTTTTGTCACTTTAATGTACATGTATTTTCTAAATGGTCCCTTTGGCCATTATATTGGATTTTACTTTAATTTTTGAGTTATAACTTAGAAATTGTGCTTAATGTGTAATTTTTTTTCTTCTTGCAAATGTGAGATTTGAGCTCCCAATTTGCATAGCTATATCTACCTGAGATTGAATGAAACTTGTAGATTTGAATGTTCAAGGAACTTGTTTGATCTCTCACATTGTACGTTAGACAAACAAATGAAAGTTGTAATATAAATGAATACAGGTTGTTTACAATTTTTTTTTTTTAAAAAAAAAACAAAAAAAAATTATTTGGCTACCAAATGTTTTGGTAGCCAAATAGGTAATCAAAAGTTTTGGCTACTAATAATTTAGTAGCAAAAACATAACCCAAAATGTTTTTGCCACCAAATAATTAGTAGCTAAAAGATTTGAGAATGAGAGAAAGAAACTATTGGTGACTAATACTTTAGTGGCCAAAACATACATTTTGCCGACTAAACTAAGATTAGTAGCCAAATGTGTACTTTCAGCGACCAATTATTTAGTAGGTAAAAGTGATACCTTCCCCGACCACAACAAATTAGTAGCTAAATGTGTACTTTCGGCGACCAATTATTTAGTAGCTAAAAGTGATACCTTCCCCGACCAGAACAAGTTAGTAGCCAAATGTGTACTTTTAGCGACTAATACTTTAGTGGCGGAAACATACCTTTTGCCGACTAAACTAAGATTAGTAGCCAAATGTGTACACTTTCAGCGACTAAACAAATTTTAGTCGCCAATACTATCGCCGACAGGGTAAAGGCGACGAGTTTAGCGACGAAAAATTTTGGTCGCTAAATCGTTTCGGCGACTAAATAAGTGACTTTTGACTACCAATATTTTGGTAGCCAAAAGTGACATTTCTTGTAGTGGCATATCATTTTCATAGAGCTCACTTTGACATGAATTTTCTATTCACTCGATAATGGTTTTGAGCAACCAAATATACTACGTGAATCACAATGTGGCATGGAACGCATTATCACTTAGGCCCGCCAACTTTGGCGCATGGGTCCCACCTAAAAATTAGACCAAAGTTTAGAAAAAATATGTTTTTTCCCAAACCATTTCTTACAAATTTCACATTAAATCCATAATCATTTCACTTTTTCTCTCACAACTTTCCCAACAACTATTAAAAAAATAATCAACTTTTCAAACACAATTATTTTAGTTAGGCTAAAATAATTAATATGTCAAATATTCAACTAAAATAGCCAACTTCTCAAACAAAGCCAATATAAACTAACACAAATAAATTAAAAAGAAATCAAAATTCATAAACAAAAGTCAAAATGCTCCAATCATTAACTTTTTAATAAACTGCTCAATATCATTACAACCACCAAATCATCATTTTACAAATACAAAATAAATTTGAGAAAATTTTAAAATTTTCTCAAGAGAAAAATACATTAAAAAATAAAAAAAAAATCCACTCAATACTTGTGCGTCAATAACTATATTTAATAGGACATGATGGTTTTATGCCTAGATTTATTTATCCATTTATAGCTCACAATTGGGTCACACTCGCACATTTTATTTCTAAATTCATTACCAAATCAAATTATTTTGTGTTCGAAGCAGGTGAGTTCGACTGTATTAATCATTTCTATTTCACATTCTGCTATATCAAAAACTATGTTCAGGTAAATTAAGTAAATTCATACTGTTTTTGTTACTTCCACATCACAAATCATTTTAGGGTTTTCTATTTCTATACATTTTTCTTCACGGTGATCATATTATCGTTCTTAAAGTTAATTACTTAAAAGTCCTATTTGTAAGGTTGGTGTTCGATTAAACTACTTCATTGTTTTTATCCAATAAGGTCTCATGTTCAAAAGATATTTATAAGATTGTTTTATCCTTATAAAAAGGAAGAAATAATTGAAAAGCATCAATTCATTAAGCGCTAAGAAAAATTATTAAGTGTTTCAAGTGCACTACATGACAATATTTTTCACCAATTACCAAATATTATGCCCCATACCCCCAACTCAAAATTGTAGGCATTGGATGTAAATTATGTGTTTATGTGGCTTGATATTTCTCTATGTGATTGAGAAAATTAGAATCTAGGTTTCAGAAATTGACAGTCAATGAATTTTGAGTTGAGTTATGTTATTTTTGGTAACTTCAGAGCAGTGTTTAATTGGGGCAAACTACGTATTTCTCATGATTTTTCTAATCATCGCTCCGAGAAGAGAAATTTCCAAAGCCAAGTGGGTTCGTTTTGGTTGTTTGTCTCGTACTCATGATATAGTCTGTAACAACCCCACTCCGTGATTAGCTACTAATCTGTAGTTAAGAATGTTAATCAAGTGATTAGATGGAATCATGTGTTAATTGTGCATTTCATATGTTATTTGTGAGTATATCTGTCTGACGTAGGAATATCTGTTTCGATTTCTGCATTGTTCTATTAATTGAAGGCATCGGCATTTGAACACGAAACTGCTTAGGTTTACGTGTTATTTGAAATTTTTAGAATTTTATGGTAAGTCTAATTAGATTTCGATTCAGAATCAAATAATTAGAATAAATTGAATTAGATCAACCAACTTAAACTATACTTAATTTAATCCAATTAATCCCACCTATATAAGCTAAACCAATTCTAGAAACACTTACATACACACACCTTCCTTATCTACTTGAACTAAAAAATGTGAGAAGGAGAGGGAGAGAAAGAAATTGAGATCAAAAGAGGAGAAAAGAAGGAAATTGTTAGACAATTGAAAGGGAATTGGAGGATTTGAGCAAGAAATTATTAGAATTCAAAGAATTGGGAACTCTAGGTAAGAATCATAGTCTTAAACTTGGTAGTCAAGATATTAGTGTATGAATTCAAGAGGTTTAAGTGTTTAAACATGAGAATTGAGCTTAAAAGGTAGAATTGAGGATGAATACATACATGCATGCATATTTCATGACATTTTGAAGTTATTTTCCAAAGAATTCTTTCATGCATGCACTTATCTTAGCTTGGTTTTGAGAATTCATCATGTTTCATATCAATTCGTAAATGTGCATGTTTTGGAAGCTTTGAATTCAAAACAATGCATGCATGTTAAATACATATAAGTTTCAAGTTTGGTTTTGGATAATTGGCATGCTTTTAGGCCTTGATTTTGTGAATAGATCTTCATTTCATGTTTTCCAAAAAGTTTCTAAGTGTTTCTTCAAGCTTTGGCCCAAAAGAATGTATTTTGAAGCTTTGAAATTGGTTTTGAACTTGAAACAGAAATTTGGAAATTCCAGAATTTGGTCGCACCGCTCAAGCGACGAAACCGTCGCTTGAGCATAAATTGCGAGCTCTCAGAAGTTTTGCAAAGTTTGATGGTTGGCTCGAGCGACCATAAGACCATTTGAGCGACCACCCTTTATTTTTCGATATTGGCTCGAGTAACCAATATGTTGGCTTGAGTGTAAAATGAGAGCTCCTAGTACTTTTATAAATTTTGTAGACTGCTTGAGCAACCACAGCTTCGTTTAAGAGAACTACCCTATTTTCAGAAATTTTGCAAAGTGTTTCAAAGTGTAATATTGAATCCTCATTCCATCTTAGGCATTCTTAAGCCAAGTTTTAGGCCATGTTAATGAGGATATGAATTATAAACACACTAAGAAAGAAATGTAATAAAACAAGTGTTTACAGAGCGTGTGTTTCAATGTTTATCTGTCATGTATTATGTAGGTCAAACGCCGCATTGTGACCACGTGTTTCAAGGAGCCAACTGTGAGTAACAACGTTGTAAAGTTATGTTCAAATTATAATTGTTTTTTAAATGATATTAAACTCTGTTTTTAAAACAGCACTGTTTATTGAATGAATGATTGCCCTATTTTATGAACTATATTCGTGGCATCTATAACATATGTTATTGCTACTATTTACTGTTACTATTATAAAGATCTCTATCAGTTCCAACCTTTGGAACTGCTGTTTACTGTATTGATGGCCATTACTTATGACTATTCGGTCTTTATGACCTACTGTACTTATTTGCTCTTGGATATACCACATATGACTAGTATGATTTCAATATGAGTGACAAGTTATGAGATGCTGATTGAGAAGTGACCCACCGATGAGATTGACCGTCTTTATTACTGTATGGACATCATTCATAACTCTTTTACACAATTGTTATTCACTGGGCCCTAGCTCATTATGGTATATATGTATATAAGCTATCAAGCTTAGGACCGGACTTAGCGGCGTCGACTTGAACTTTGTTTTGTCAAGGCTACTAATGTGCCTCACTACGAGGTTCCAAACTGTCAGTCAAGGCTTTTTTCGGGTGGTTCAGAATTCACTCTTTTGAAATTATGTTCAAGTGTTAAGAATGTTTTATGACTTTTGTTAATACCCTTTTTTTGATAATGGGATTTAATTCCCCAAGTCATGTTTAGGTTTTTGGACATAAGTTTGTCATGGACTTGTGTGACTATGTGTAGATATTTATTGAAAAGTTTGTCTTGTTCCATTTAAGTCTTCACAGCTCATTAGATGTTATAATTTATTATTTAAGGCTTCTGCCAACCCCTTGTACTGTATTACTATTAAGCAGGCCTTTGGTAATCTCGGATTACTGGCCGGTCACTTCTCTAATCCCTTGAGGCTGGGGTTGGATCATGACATAGTCCTAGGCAAGCCTATGTTAGTTTCACTCAAGTCGCCAAAATGGAAAATTCGCAAGCTGTAGACACCCTATTTTTGACCGTCCTCAAGCCTTGGACGTTACCGTTTGAACACTCGGTGATCACCCACGTTTGT